TACCTCTCTTGTAGCGGTAACTGTTCCAGGCTGCACGTTTTAAGCGAAGTGCTTTGGTGCAATCAGAATTCCACCATGGAACACATTTAGAGGTATATGGTCTTGAGGTTCGAGGGATAGCTGTATGTGCAGCTCTTAAGACTGTAGTTGTGAAACACTGTATCATTTCTGAAATGGAGGTGAGGGAGGATGGAGGGGTATGAATAGCAGAGAATGAAGTGAAAGTATGCCAGTCGGCTCTATCAAAGCACCAGCGTGGGGAGTTAGGAAGTGGTACATATGAAGTAGGAGAAAAGAGAACTGGAAAGTGGTCACTATAGGGAAAGTGGTCTAAGACTGACCAGTGGAAATCTATATGAAGAGAAGGGGAGCACAGAGAGAGGTCAATGCATGAAAAAGATTGCGTGCGTGTATCAAAGTGTGTGGGGCGATCTGAATTTAGAATAGTAAGGTCAGCTGTGGAGAGGAAGCGCTCTAGAGATCGGCCTCGGGAGTTGGTAATAGAATCACCCCAAAGAGTGTGGCGGCAGTTAAAGTCACCCACTATGAGGAAAGGTGGTTGAAGTTGGGAAATTAGATTTTCAAAAGCATCAAAGTCAATGGGGTGGGAAGGGGAGAAGTAGACTGAAATCACTGTGATCCAACGATGAAGGAAGATACGAATAACTGTGCAAGGGACATTGGTTTGAAAGGGTGGTGTGACATAAGGTGTTTTCTGATTGATAATTATGGACGAGACATAAAGGGAATGTGGGGAAGAGACAAAATGATAATTGGGGATTGGTATTGGAGGATGTGTAAGAAAGGTTTCTTGAAGGCATACAATAGATGGGTTATAAGAGGAAAGGAGCGGAAACCGCGAATATTCCAATGAAGGATAGTTATACTTTCTTTGATTTAGTGATATAGACTGTAGTACGTGTTGGAGACTTTGAGGGGGAAGCAGCTAGAGGGTGGGATAAGGACTGAGAGATTTGAGATGGGAGAGGTGTGGGAGTTGGTGTTCTATCAGGAGGGGTATTAGGAGATGGAGGGTCTGAGGAAGGGGATACTTGTGACATAAGGGATTCATGTGTGTATCCAGGAGGGAGTGGAAGGGATAGAGGGGATGGTGGGAGGGTTAATGTGGGCGGGGTTGGGGTCGGGGTCGGGGGGGATGGGCTGTGTTGGGAGGGGGTAGGAGGATAGGGTGTAGGGGGGATATCGTTAGGAGGGGGATGGATATCAGAAGTTACTTGGAGTGTGGAAGGAGCAGGGGTTGTAGGTTGAGTGTCAGTTTGCATTAAGTAATCTTGAATATTTTCAATAGTTTCTTCTGAGGAGTTGGTTGGGGAGTTGTGGGGGATAAAGGATTTCTTGTGAGGGGGGGAAGAGAGGACTGGTGTCTCAAGAGTACGGGCAAAGGATGGTGGAGGTGATTGTGTGGTAGGGGAAGAGGGGGTGGAACGTTTGTTCTGTCTGTTACGGGGAGTGCGAGGAGGGAGAGGGGAAGGTGTTGGGGTTGTAGTGGTGATTGGAGTATCTGTAGTAGAGATTGGAGTTTCTGGATTTAGGATGGCAAAAGAGTTTGACTGGGGAAGGTAGGTGGGGTTAGTGGGAGGGTTAGATGTAGGAGGGGTGGGTTTAGGAGAAGTGTTAGAATGAGCAGTATTACTGGAGTAAGGAGTAAGAGAGAATCCACGTCGACGTGCTTCCTGTCTGGCTTCACGCAGTGTGAGTCCGAGTTTGAATCTGAGAGTTGCTACCTCAGATTCAAATTTGTAGGTGGGACAGCCCCTATAAAATACATTATGGGGGCCGCCACAGTTGGCACATGTGCGTGATTGTGCAGAGCAGTTAGATCGGGTATGGCCAGGTTGGGCGCATAATGGGCATCTGGCTGTGGAACGGCAGTGTTTGGCTGGGTGTCCTAGACGCCAACAATTTTGGCACTGACGTGGAGGAGGTTGGTATGGACAAACAGGGAGGGATTCTCCTATGTAGACGTTAAAGGGAAGGTCATGTCTACGGAAGGTAATTTTGGCTATGTTAGTGGGTTTCTTTCGATGACCTCTGGGGGGGATGGAATAGCATTGTACTGATGTTGCACCCTAGTCTGTGAGACAGGCAAGTAGATCTTCTCCACAATCTGACCAATCTTTGTCATAGATTGGGCAATTTGTTGGTGAGATTGAGACTGTTCCGGTGCAAGTATTGAGGGTTGGATGGGGTTCTGCTAGGATGGGGTTACCATGTAGGTCAGTTAGTTTTGTTAATGCTATGGCTTGGTTTTCGGATGTTACTGTTACAAGACGGAAGCGGTCGGGTCGACTACGGAAAGAGACTTTACCTACTTGTTTTTGGAGGCATTGTTAGAAGAGAAGGGTGTTGTCAGAGTAGGGAGCTGTGGGAGGGATCACGAAAAATCGGTCCCATTTGGCTGCACTGAAGAGAGTATTCAGGATTGTTTTAGAGATAGGGGTGGTAGAAGGGCGAGGGCGTGACGAAGATGGAGTAGTGTTGATGGAGGTAGTGTTATGGAGAGGTGGGCTATAAGGCTGTAAGGTATCAATAAGGGAGGATGGGGTGGTTGATGTTGGAGGTTGTGGGGGTAGAGGTGTTGAAGTTGGGCATGCTGGGAGAGTGGAAATGTTCCTTGAGGGTTGATTGTTGGCTACTGTACTAGTAGGCATTGGTGAAGGGGTAGTTATTGCAGTGTTTGGAGCCGTGGTCAAAGGAGAGCCTGGGGTCGGGGAATCGGGTGGGTTTACTTCGTTGGGGCTATTTGATAAAGGGGCAAGCCTCATTGCCCCTAACAGTGGGGATATATTTTCATTACTGGCCATGGGAAGCCTGGATTATGTTGGGGATAAAAGCAGTCCACCCCTCAGGGTCTCCTTGAGGGGTAAGGGCTAGATAACTAAATCAGGGGAATACCGTGCCCATGGCTCCCTCAGGCCGTTCGGGACTAGCACAAAGTCAGCCTTTCATCCTTTCAGCACGGCTCTCACACCTTAGGAGGTGGATAGCAGAAGGGTTTGGTGAAGGGACAGAAACAAAAGTGGGAAGGGGAAAAAAAGACCATGCATAATTAGTTGAGTCGAGGGCTGAGTCCCAAGGTTGGGGGAGTTCCCCATCATTGGGTCCCAGTCTCCGCCTCCTAAGCCCCCCCACGACAACAACGGGCAAGGGATTGGGGGGGAGGTTAGAACCACTGGTCGAAGGCAATGGTTCCCAAACTTTGTTTTTTTAACAATGTTAATCGTGATATATTTCAAATAAATTCTTATATAGTAAACTAATTTTTTTTAGCGCCCCAGATCCTTCCACCGCCCCAAAGGAAGCAGTACAGCCCACTTTGCGAACCTACTTCGAAGAAAGTTTCCGTTACCAGACCTTCGGTGTTGCCCATGGCTCTTAAAATCATAGCTAATTTGTTCCTTGCTACATCTTTCGATTTGACCTCTTCATACTCTCCACGTGAACCTACCCTCTTCCCGGATTTCCTTAAAAAACTGGTCTCACTTTATTCGTTTGTAAGTTCCCCTTCTTGGACATACGGAGTCATCGCTCTGCTGACATTTTTTCCATTTCACTATACAAGAAACCGATTCAGGGGGATGTACACACAATTCAATCATCCACTCCAAGTTTATTTAATGAAAATTTCCTGACGTATCAACGTCTAAGGTAATCAGCGGCGTATTCAAAATATAACGATAGGGTGAGGCGAAGCCCCCGGGTAAGAATTGTTTGGGTTCATAAGCTGATATTTGTGGACTTGTAGAATTGTCAAGTCAAAATAAAAAATATGCCAGTCTTACAGTAAGATGATAAAGGGGTAAACCGGAGTTAACGATTAGGATAAGTGGACAGAAGGGGATAAAGTGAAGGAAAAGCTTGCCCACGACAAGCAAGGCGTTGCGGTGCATTGATTCAGATTTGATCTGCCCCTTTACACGGACGAAAAAGGTCAAGCGGACTTTTCTTAGCCGGAGTCATTTTTAGACAGTACAGTTTGATGAAGGGTACATTCATCAAACTGTACGGTCTAAGAAGTCAGCTTTTGAACTAAACTTTCTCCCCTTCCCTATTTGAAGAACTTCAAGTTTGGCATTATCAAGTCTTGTTGCCCTCAGTCCGCTTGACAGCCTTCCCCACATGACTGAACCTTTGCTTTAGTAACTTTGGCCTGGTGTCTAAAGCTCTCGAATGGCTGGGAATCAACTTTAACCCACCTCTAAATGCCCTTTTTGATTGGAGCACTAAGTTATTTAACAAGTCAGCTGCCACTCCCGTTTTCTAGGTAAGCTGCATCGAGCCAAATGCCGACGACCTTTACTGCCGGTAAAGCCTGTGAACACTGCTCTCCAACATCCATTGAGACCCAGCAAGATTTCGGCCAAGCTTGACTGGTGCGGATGGCCTCGGCCTTTTCAGTAAAGTTGGTTACACCAACTTTCCTTTAGGATTAACCCAACATGGCAAAATTTCTTTTAATGACAAGTGCAGTGACTTAACCCCGACAGCAACATACAAGTAAAATTCCATTACATTTTTTGACAAAATCAGCATTAAATATTACACCACCACCTCTGTGGTTATCTTAGTTCCATTTTAAAGTAATTCCAAGAGGTTTTTTACTCTTGAAGAACATTTAGGATCTTTCCGAAGTAATGATCCTTACAAATTTCCTATACATGTAAAAAGGACGAGATAAATTCATAGTCAGATCAATGTTTATTTGCAATCTCTGGTGGTAACTCAAGTTACTTCTGGGTCATCCTGAAGAAAAAAAAAAAATTGAACATTAGAAATTTTCCTAGATGTTGCAATTGATTTCTATTTCATGTTTTCAGGTGTCAAAATAGTAATCATGGTTATCATAACCCAATGCTCTGAAAAAAGGGTTTTCATCATGTGAAAATTTTTGGGGTAGAATGAAAAGAAAAAAAATCCTACCTGGAACCACTTTTTTAAAAGGTTGAGTGATGCCAGCTCTGCTGTCAGATGTCAAGACGTAATCATGGTTTTCATAACCCAATGCTCTGAAAAAAGGTTTTCATCCTGTATACAATGTGCCATAATCTACATTCTCATGGAAATCCAAGTTTATATCCAATACAAAAACGAGGTCTTACCTTTAACTTAAGGTCATGGTCACTGGTCAATACCATCAGCCAGTGCTCTCCAAATACCTGGAAAAATAAATTATTCCAAGTTCTTTTAATGTGCAATTCAATGTCAAGACTGGCAAGAAGATGCTTGATCAAAGTGTTCCGGCATAAACCTGAAGACCAGCCAAGGAACTAATCTCCAACGATAAGTAGCCTGGATTTTGATCTAGCGTCCTTACGACCAAAGAAACAATGATGTTAACTTGGAGATACAGAACGCCAAAAAACATGTAGCTGCTTCTATATACAAATTTAAATATGTATACTTAGCTTTGTCACGAAGTATACACTACTTAATTTCACAATTCACAATATGGCAACTTTAGTGTATACAATATTAAATGGCTTTAAGCACAGTAAAATTATGAACTTCATAAATAAGACTATTCAAGAAGACTTTGTATATTAGTTTTGGCAAACTTACCAAAGGCAAATCTAAAACTTCACATCCTGACAAGCCGTGTGCTTCTGTGAAAGATAAGGCAATTCATTAATAATCAATTATCAGCAAAATATAGAGTATACATTTCTTAAATTTCAGACCTCTTAACAGAATCATTTAGATCATAAACACGGACCAAGAGGATTTACTCATCACTTTAGAAAAGAACCAAAATATAGCCATTAGTGGCAACTTACCAATATGGCCACAAGCCCTGGACATCTTTCAAGCAGGTCATGTTGGTAGCCTTGAAACCTCACAAGCTTCCTGCAAGATAAAATTTTATTAGAATACATGCATAAAACTTTGCAATCTTAATAGCTTTTGACAACAGTCAGACCTCTTAACAGAATCATAGATATCATAAACACGGACCAAGAGGATTTACTCATCATAAATGCAGCTTCACAAATTCACCTTGAAAGAATTACATTTATTAAATCAATCTTGATTTTTGTATGTAGCAAGTTATTAATATAATCTGTTTCCATATCAACAAGATCATACCTTTTATTTTAAAGATATGCCAATCCTGCTTGCACATTTCCTTTTGTCCCATCTGAAAAAATACAAAATGCTTAAAATTTTGCCAAATTCCAAGAGATAATTACTAAAAAAGAATATTTCAGGTGTCAAAAAGTAATCATGGTTTTCATAACCCAATGCTCTGAATAAAAAGGTTTTCATCCTGTACATAATGTGTTACAATCTAAACACTAATAATTTAGAAGTATATCTAGCACAAAAGCAATATTTACCTTCAAAGCCATATTCATATTCACTGACCAATATCAGCCTGGCAACCGAAAGCCTGAAAAAGAGTGAAATAAGCCATTATTTAACATGAAATTCAGAGTCTATGACTAGCTATGAATGTGCATGATCAAATGTTCCGGCATAAACCTGAAGACCAGCTAAGGAGCTAATCTCCAACGATAAGTAGCCTGGATTTTGATCTAGCGTCCTTACGACCAAAGAAACAAGGATGTTAACTTGGAGATACAGAACGCGACTTGCATATTAAAAGATAACTATATTCAAACAAATGAAATAAGAAGGAATCTCAAGTACATTTAGGCTACTTCACCAAATTTTACATTCGAGAAAAGACTGGATATATAGAAAAAATACTCTTAAGAATTTTAAAATGAGGGATCTAATACAATAATAATCAGTAAAATATTCACTTTTAGACTAATACAATGACAAAAGAAACTTACCAAAATAAATATCCTTCAAAACTGGATAGCAAGATCAGGACATTTTCCTGCAAAGAAAAATTAAAATTAATAACTAATTATGAATAACATCAATTGCCTTTTTCCTTCAAGTTGTTATCAGACCTCTTTAGCAGAATCATTAAATCATAAACACGGACCAAGAGGATTTACTCATCACCTTAGATATTATAGGGGGGAGATCATATAAAAATTATATAAACAGGGGGGACTTACCTATAGAAGCACAATTTCTTAAACCTTCCACAAAAGTCCTGTTGACATGGAAGCCACACCAGCTCCTGCAATAGAAACATTTTCCACTACAACATGTGCATAAAAATTTATCCTCTTCAAACGTAGTTTTAAGAGTCAGACCTCTTTAGCAGAATCATTTAGATCATAAACACGGACCAAGAGGGTTTACTCATCATAATAATGAAGTTATTCTAATGCTGGACATTACCTTTCAATCTGATTACAAATATGGAATACCAAGTTAAATGTGTACTTGACAAATTCACAACAGATCAAAATCAAGAACTGTATTAAAGATTGAGATTTTAGGAGCTAGTTTTGTTTTTTAACAAATGGATAAAACTAAATGTGCACTTTCAAATTTATGCAACAATTAATGGATTTTTTTTACCCAGTAAAAAAAAAAAAGTTCCAATGAAGGGCAGTAAACAATATCCATCTTGTGAAATTTCATAAACTGTGTATACATGTACTTAACAAGCTATCACATCAAGCCAATTAGGAATTAGAGGATATTAAAAGGATGCCATATTTACTCTTCTATAAGGAGGCAAAAAGATAGAAGCCACTAAATACCAGTTCAGTCAATACTGAAGTCTGTTTACCCAATCCAAAAGAAAGCCGACATGAACTCATCCCAAAACCTGATATTGTATAACTGCATAGCAACACCATTACTATTATCAGACCTTTTCCACATCATTTAACTTGGACCAAGAGGACTGACTCCTCATATCAAACACTTGTGAATAACAGGTTTTTATAGTTTGTATCAAGGAAACTAGAATGAATTGGTCTACTCCAGAGAATACAAGCCTACCCAATCCAAGATGACCATGCAGGAGCCTTAGTCTTTGGAATTTTTTTTTTTTTTTTCTCTTTTTTAACAATACAGATTTATCAAACACTTGTCAAGATTTAACCAATGCATCTTGCGGGAGGGGGGGGGGGGATGCATCAATACAAGTACTCAATATATACACTGGGGCACAAAAGACTTTACAATCCAAAATCAGATTTGCAGACAAACTTAGTCAAGTTACTTTCCTTGACACTTTTGCAGGCTTTTACAGCCTCTTGGGAAAACCAATAGTTTTATTGGATTATCAATACTTCATAGTTTTGAATATGTACAAAGTTTACTTCAATATAATTGAAAACTTAAATATTACAAAACTTGATAGTTCCAAGATTCTTAGCCTGTGATATGAAAAGCACACTTACCATTTTACAGGAATTCAGGCACCAAGGTTACGTTGGCATCAACCGATATCTGAAAAAGAATAAATTTGCTGATCAAATACATACATAATTTAGACCTGCAGTTTTATATTAAACAAAGCATTTCTTAGAAAGTGATGCACCCTCCCGGCTTTCATGCGAATCCAAGTTCCAAAACCTAACCATTCCTACCTTCCATTTATTCCTTAGAGGGGATGCCCACCTGTACCCAACCCCCTTTATTAGAACTTCATGCCTAATCAAAGAACACCTAACATTAAGAACTCTAGCTGCACGAGGATATTGTGGAGTTAGTCTCCGAGTGGTAATGTGCAGCAGATATTTTCATCATTTCGCAGTAAATAGGTGGCCTCTGCAGCTGTACCCGAGCTGATATTTATGCTTTCTCATGCCCTATAAGATGGTAGTGCCCATTTCCTTCCATCTGAGTGCATCACTCTTGGTAACATTAACCAACATTTTATCAAGTAGATTACATACAAGTATAGTCAAGTCAATACATATCCTTATATTATAAAATCTTTAGAAATTTCCATAGTCATAGTCCATAAGATGAATATAATAATTTGATATAAACACACGGGATCACACATGAAGTTAGAAAATACTCCAACTTAGAACACTAAGCCCATATGGAGACGGGCCAGAACGGCCCCGTGTCCAGGACCGTTAAAAACGCCGGCCGCAAATAACGAGCCCAACCCCTACACAGCATCGCTTTTCTTCGATGGTGAGGGAATTAGTCAATTGAAACTAGCTACTTATGATGACAGTTGCAAAAACACGTTATATTGATACTATGTGGATTAAAACAAAACTCAAAAAGTAAAAAACACCCCCTAGTTCTATAGGAACAAAGCTTTAAAAGATC